GCCAAGCGCTATCTATTTCTATAACAAAATTTGACAAGCCCAAATGAGAAGCACAAAGTGACTGAACCTTACAGAAAGCTGAAGAGAGTAATTCCAGATGACTGGGCAAAAAGAAAAGCTGAAGCACCTCCAAAAATACATATATATATATATATGTACACACAGAAAGACATGGGAGTATTGAGACGGTGAAAATGAAAATGCCATGTATAAAGGATTCCTGCACAAACACAACCGTGCCATAATAGTCCAGAGCAAGAGGGCAGAATCCTCACATATAATCCACAGTGCCCATGTGGGCATTGAGAAAGGCAAGAAAACAGCCTCAGGTATGTTATTTCAGTCAGACTGAGTGATGCCACAGAAGGTGAAGGGCTAAACTGAACTTCAGTGTAGAGTAAATGGCTGAACTGCAGTGAAGACTTGTCTTCAGCTCTGAGATGCACTGGTGTAAATACAACAGCACAAACAGCCCCACACTGGAATCACATCACATTCCCCTGGGTTTGGATCTCAGATTAGTGCATCTTTATTTCAGGGACGTTTTATTTTTCAGTGACAAAAGTTACCCTTGATTACAGACTCCTTTCCATAGAGTTGGGTCTAACACACCGTGGACATTGATGGTGTCTTTTCATTGACCAAAATGGCTTTTCAAACAGCATTCTATGCATTTCTAATTGAGCTGCTGGATGATGCTGTAGCAGCAATGTCCCGACACTCTGTAAATCATATTTGTTTGGAATGGGATTCCTGATGGGTTAATAACTCATAAACAGGCCACAGTTGCTCTCGTTTCTAGGTTGCACACAACTAAGCCTCCAGCAATGTGTTATTTAGGGGCTCAGACATTCTGAAGCCCCAGACAAAAAAACACAAACCACATTTTCCTGGAATTTGGTAAATTTGTTGGCCTATAAAAACCAAGTGGAACCAAAGTACTTGTAAAAAGTTATAGAAGCACTTAGAGAAGTTATAAAATTACAAACTGGTTCTAACTAAAGCAGCAAACCGTTACCTTAAATGTACCCTTTCTTAGCCCATAGCCAGCAAAGACAAAGCTTTTTGTAAGGAACATCTTGGATACATCATTTTGCCCATGGCAAACTAAATGCAGGGAGGCTGTCCAGTCCCGTCAGTAGATCCTGTTTCTTGGCACAGACCTTGATCTCGGATCCGGCTCCAGAGCTGTTGAGCTGTCTCATGGAACCAACTATGCAAATAGTTAATTTTTTCAAGCTGACAACCAAACTTCAAAAACCCCTCACAACAATACTGGTGGCTTGGATCAACCCAAGAATAGGCTTTTACAGCAAAACAAAATTACCATTTCACACTCTTTGAAGGAAATTAGATTTGTTACAAAATGAAAGCACTTTGTTGCAAAATGTAGAAATGAAACATTTCAAGGGTGGGTGAAGGGAAAAAAAAGAAGAATCCATTGAATCTGAGCTGAATTCACAAATAATTTTGGCTCCTCAACTTCACACAAAAAGCCTCTTGGCTGATTACTGCAATTCTTAATTAGGAATGAAGCCGCACTCACTGGATGAGGGCAAGCATATATATCACAGATGTTAACACCCCGAGGAGCACACACTGAGCGCTCTTCTTTCTCTACTGACTTCCCCCCCTGCCCTGCTAAACTTAGCAATATATGAAAGTCTTTATCCTGGGAGGAAGCCAACCATAGCGCATGAGGCCGGCCTTTACCAGCAGAGACAATATCCAGCCTGGAAGGAGAGGTGCCATGCTGTGGTGCTCTAGGCCTCCTCCCAAACCTGCCCAGATGGGGCACTGGCTGCAGCACACTGCAGGGCTCCTTCCTTCCACAGGGCTGCACCTCCTTCCTGAGAGCACTGGAGTGTGGAGGAAACAGGGTTTCACCCAGCATGTAGGTAGGATGCAACAGAAGACTGTTTCCCTCTAAGATTACTTACTTCTCTGGAGAAAAGTGAGTATGAGCAATGAGAAGAAAAGAAAACAGCTATGGGACTAACAAGCAGAAGAGTGAACAAGAGAGTAATGACTTTAAAAACCAGATGCCAACACGTCTTCTAGATCGAGCTTCTCTACGAATTAGCTTAGATGCACACATGCTCAAGTCAGATAGTTCCACTAAGATGGAAACAAACACACAGAAAAGGCTTATTCAAGCAGGATGAAAAGGAAGTAAAATGCTATTCCCATTGAGCACCTGGAAATCAGGACCAGAATAAGATTGAGACTGTGACCTTAAGCACTTAAAAATGACTAGGACTCCTCAAATGCTTAAAGGGAATCGTATCCTGAACTGTGGTTTCAGACTGCAAGCTGCTCTGTCCAAGGAAGTGCTGGCTGGATTCCCTTGGTCTGGGCCACACTTGCACCACAGCACCACAAATGGAAGCTGGCAAATGGACAGAAGACTTTGCAGTGCCATGGTCATGAAGCTACCTGCCAGCACCGTATGATGCTATGTGAGATGGGATGCAGCCACAGCGTTGGCTGTCACCGGGAAAGCACCATTCAGTGTGATATTCTTGTTGTCTTCTGCTGCCATTTCTCCCACATTTTTCATTTTTGCTTTATCCCTCTTTTTGTTTTATTTTGTTGCCTGAATGTACTTCTGGAGTCCCTTGCCATGGCAACACCTGCAGGTGAAGGCAGAG